TTCATGTTGGTTTTCATTGTGGAGAATGTGGGTTAGAGCCACAGTTTTTATGAAGATTTGTCAGGAGACTTGAGTCAACAGATTGTGTTTTGGTGCTGACAGACGAAAACCAATAAATCACTGAGTTTGGGTGCCATTTATCCAAGGGTTCTTAAGGAACTTGGATGCCAAATTGTTGATCTCCTACCCAACATAATGCAACATTTGGAAGGTAGTAAATGTAACACCAGTTTTTAAAAATGGGTCCAGAGGAGATCTAGGAGATTACTGGCCAGTTAGTCTAATGTGTGTTCTAGACAATTGTTGGAAATTGTTATTAAAGAGAGAATTATCAAGGACCTTGAAAATCAAAGCCATCCCAAGGAAGAATCAGCCTGGCTTCTATAAAGAGAAGAGTAGTTGTGGTTTGATCAATTTTTTGAAGTTCTTTGGAAGGTTAACAAGCATAGAGAAGGGTAAGGTAGTAAATGTAACAGCAGTTTTTAAAAATGAGTCCAGAGGAGATCCAGGAGATTACTGGCCAGTTAGTCTAATGTGTGTTCTAGACAATTGTTGGAAATTGTTATTAAAGAGAGAATTATCAAGGACCTTGAAAATCAAAGCCATCCCAAGGAAGAATCAGCCTGGCTTCTATAAAGAGAAGAGTAGTTGTGGTCAGTGTTCCCTCTAAGCTGAGTTAGCGTGAGCTAGATCACAGTTTTTTAGCCTTCAACTCACAGATTTTTGTCTCGGCTCAGGAAGGAGGGCTCTAGAGCAAACTAATTTATGCAGCAGCCAAATCGCTTGCTCACAACTTTCATGCCAGCAGCTCACAAAGTAGATTTTTTGCTCACAAAACTCCACAACTTAGAGGGAACATTGGTTGTGGTTTGGTCAATTTTTTGAAGTTCTTTGGAAGGTTAACAAGCATAGAGAAGGGCAAGGTGGTAAATATATATGTGGACTTCCAAAATCTTTTGTCAAAGCCTCTCTGAAAGTTAGCGGCCATTGAGTAAGAGGAAAGGTTCTCTGATGAATTAGAACCTGGTTAAATGACAGGGCCCCCCTGACCTAGATAGCCCCAGCTAGCCTGATCCTCATCAGATCTTGGAATCTAAGCAGGCCCTGATTAGTGTTTGGATGGGATACCACCAAGGAATACCAGGGTTGCCATGTAGAGGCTGGCAATGGCAGACCACTTCTGAACGTCTCTTGCCTTGATAGCACTATGGTATTGCCATAAATCAGCTCTGAATTGAAAGCAATAAATAAATATTTTTTACATACACACACACACACATGTATATAATATCCAAATGATGTGTGTGTGTATATGTATATATACTAAAATAATATATTAAATAATATATTAAAATAATATATATGTTTTTTAAAAATGACAGGAAGCAGGGAACACAAGTAAATAGATAGTTCTTGTGGTGAAGAGAAGTAATCTGTGGTTCCCCAGGGACTGGTATTGGGACTGATGCTGTTTAATTTGTCCATAAATGGTCTGGCATTGGTACTGAGTACCAAAGTGGCAAAATTTGCAGATGACACCCAAATTCTTCAAGTTGCTGAGAACTGAGGCAGATTGTGAAGAACAAAAGGGTCTAAAAACTGGATAAGAGGGCAACAACATGGCACATGAAGTACTTGTAAACAAAAAGTGATGAACATTAGGCTGAAAAATGTTTAAATGTATGTTAATGGGATAGGAAAGAAATCTTGAGGTAATAGTGAAAATAAAAGTGTCCTCTCCTTTTTTGGAGGTTTTCAAACAGAGGCTAGATGGTCATCTGACAGCAATGCTGATTCTGTGAACTTGGGCAGTTCATGAGAGGGAGGGCAGGAAGGGTTGCATCAGTGCTTAGCTCTTGTGGCCCTTTCTTACATGCCCAGGGAAATGCTGATTGCCACTTTGGGGGTTAGGAAGCATTTGTTCTCCAGGCCAGTTTGGCCAGAGATCCTGGAGGTTTTTTGTCATCTTCTGGGCGTGGAACAGTGGTCACTGGGGGTGTAAAGGGGGAGGTATTTGTGAATTTCCTGCATTGTGCAGGGGGTTGGACTAGATGACCCTGGAGGTCCCTTCCAACTCTTTGATATTATGAATCACATGGTTTCCACACGAGGCAGGGCAGGCTTGGGTGGTTTTGCTGTTTCTGTTGCAGCTGCCAATACAGCACAGCAGAAATGGGGTTTCTACATGGCAGGTTTCACTGCAGTACCTTTGTCCCATTCCTCCAGCAGTGCAATCCCTCCTCCCCCCAACTACTGGGGCTTTTCAATTTATTTATTTTTTAAATCAGCTATTGAATATCATCATTTGGATATAATGTTACAACAATATCATAGTTCTCTGAATCCCCATCTTTCATTGCTTTCCCCTTATAGCTCTGCAATGGAAAGGGCTAGAGACTTAATTTTTAAATATGGAAGGTGAGAACTGAGAAAACCTATTACACCTATCAATATAACATATCACTGTAACAATACTCATCTGCCAATTTGGGGGGGGGGGAAGGCCTTTTTTGGGAAGGCCACCAATGGCAAGGAGAAAGACTCACTACTGCAGGGACAGGGTCGGGGGAAATGGCTGCCATGTGGACAGGAAAATATGAACTTTCCTACCCACACAGCAACCACCCAGACTTTACTGCCATCTTTCCCAAAACTTCTCAGCAAAGCTGGTTTGAGAAAGATCAGAGAAAAACCAGGGAAACCCCAGAGGGTGCCTGAATGTACCATAAGGAATGTACTGCAGGGAAGAAGGCGGTGGGGGGACCCCTGCTTCTTAGCAGCATTGAACCCTGGGGCAGATAACCTGTGTGGAAATGGCCAGTATACAGCACCAGCAAAAAACCTAAAAGGCCAATATTGTAGTGACCTTGAATAGATCTATGGAGGAGCTGCTTTTGCAATTCTGTGTACAGTGTGTGAAACAGGATGCAGGAATAGATGAACCATTGGTCTGATCTAACATGACGGCTTGTATAATATTGACACTGCAAGGAAATTACCTCGGTGTCCTCTGATTTTTTTTAAAAAAATAACATGCGTAATTGATCTTGGGCAACCTGCAGAAGAATGATAGGGGTCAGCCAAAACCACCTTTGCTATGATACTGCAAATACCTCCATATGTAGTGTTTCCTTGAAACAGATATTGCAGACAAGTATTTGTCTTGTGCTTAGCTGGCAGCTACCCAGCTACTATCTATGCCCTGCTCTTTACGCAGAGGTCAGAAGCAAACTAGATTTTGGATTCCTGTTTCACTTGAATAGTTAACCCTTTTAAGAACACAAACAGGGCCTCGGTGCTCACAGTTTCACCCTCTTCCTTTCTGTGCTTGAATTTGTGTCCGATATTCTGATTGTCTGACCTTTGGTTTCCTTGTCCCTGCAGAAATTTCCTGTATCAGGTCCACCCCTGCTCCTTTGATAAGAGTAAAGAGGTGTTCTGCTGTCCATTGTGTACAGAGGCAAATTTTATTAACAGAGCAGCCCTAAAAGAGTGACACCCTTCTAGGCTTGTTGACATCAGTAGATTTAGAAGGGTATAACTACTTACGACTGCACTTTGGGAATATATGGAAATGACAAGATGTTTGGAATGAAAGCCCCTTTTACACCTGTATGGTCAGGGTACTTCATAGTCACATCCTTTCTGTCCTCCTTTTGATGCCACATGAAAGAAGGGAGGAACTGCAGTATCCTTTTAGAAGATGGAAATCATGTCCAAGTTGTGATGGAGGCTGACTGAAGTCTCCAGCCTATCGCCATTTAAGCTGGAGTTTGGGATTCAAGCTATGCAGTCCCTTTTGACTAAGAATTCCTTGGTTGGAGGAATGGGCTATAAGCGGCTGCAATAGTCCAGCGTTCTGTCAGTAGTTTGCAAGCTATTTTACCTGATTCTCACTGGAGAGTTATGAAGTAGCCATAAAGCTCTAAACAGCTCTGGATCTGGGCAGAAAATCCATATTCTGGCCCTTTTGCTTTCCCTTTGCCCCTCTTTTTCCTTTCTTCACGTTTTGTGCAGTTGCTCTTATTTGACTCTGCATTTGCCTGTTACAGAAGAGATCCAAGGATCTGGACTATCTCTGTTGTGTCTGTCCCTGTGATTATCTGAATCCCTTATATGCAAACGCAAGCATTTGCAGGGTTCTTTCGAGGCGGTTGGGCTTTTCAGAAAGTCCAAATGCTGTGGCTTTCTGGCTTTTGTTTAATTAAACGTTAACCCACATGCCTGTGTTTGCTTTCTCTTTTCCAGGGTAAGCAGGAGAGCCATGGAACTGGTGTTGCTCAATCCTTTGCAAACAAGATGCGAGCAGGGCTCGTCTTTGGTTTAGCCTAAGTGGACCATTCCTGGAAGGTTCCATGGTGAATGTCAGAATGGAGCACTCTGGACCACCCCACAGTTCAGACCTTATGGACTTTCTGGCAGATTATGGAAGAGGAGAACGGTGCTGTGAAATTGGCGGTAGCTTGGGGGAAGCCCAGGACCTGCCTCCATATTCTGAAGCTCTCCAAAGTGAAATGGTGCCTCTCACTCCCCCCTTATGCCTTGAGAACTTAGATTTCTTGCAGGAGAGCTTGGAGGGAGCCATCAGCAATCCTGAAACACCTGCTGAGAAATCCTTTTCAGCATTAGCTTCAAGTCATGCTGCAGAGCCTCTACCAGGTTCACAGAGCATGGACCTCTTCTCTGAGAAGCTGGAGCTGCCCCAGAGAGAAGATTCCCACCTGGAAAACTTGAAAAATCAGGGCAAATGCAGCAATGATTCCACCCAGGCGCTGTTCTGGGCCAGTATTCTTCAAGCCCAGATGTGTGTCATGGATCTTCAAGGGGAGATTGACAAGCAGAAGGAAACAGAGGAGATCCCCTCTCTTAGCCCTGAGAAGATGCCAGCAACACTTGCACCTCAAGGCTTGACGGAATCCCATGAGCCTTTGCTCCTGGACAGTGATAGTGAGGAATCAGAGGACTTATCAGAGAGACTGGAGGAAGAGGAAGGGTCCTCTGAGGAGGAAGATGAGGATGAGGAGGTGGAATACTTGTTTTATAACAATCCACTGTTTCAAGAGAGTCCTCACCCAACAAGAACCACCAGCTTTGAAGGACAGACCTTGTGGAGCCATCCAGAGGGAAGGCCTGGGGTGGAAGATGAGGAGGGAATATTGGACAGTGGGCTGGTATCTCCAAAGCAGGATGATTTCCTCTTTTACCAAACAACTGTTTCAGCCAGTCCTGAGACCCTGGACTCGCCCTCTTTACCTGAGCTGACCTCAGGTCCTATCCCAACCTATGTGCCTCACTACCGCTCCTTTTCCCCTTTGGTGATCACAGAAGGGGATACTGAAAGTGATTGCCCTGCTGCAGAGAACACAGAGGTAAGACCTTTGTGAGGGTTTTGTGGCGGAGTCCAGCAGAACTCCAATTCCCATATTGCTTTTCCACAGTGTCCCTTCTGCAGTGCAGCCTTCTTAAAGTGGGTGGGTGTTGGCCTTATTTATAAGCCTGGCTTTAATGTCAACCACCCATGAGGCTGATACCTGTCTTGCTGGAGTCGTACTGTTGAGTGAACCTGTGTAGGAATGGGCTGCAAGGGAAAAATCACATAAACGATGAGCATGTGGAAGCCACTTGAAACACTGCCTGTATTGGCTCCCTCCCTCTTTTTCAACTGCTCCTATGCCTCCATCATCATAGGCAGGAGCAAAGCCTTCTGCATGTTCTGGCAAACCCTTGCAGTAGCATTTGTTGTTCAGTCGCACAGTCGAGTCCGACTCTTTGCGACCCCATGGACCAGATCATGCCAGGCCTTCCTGTCTTCCGCCGTCCTCTGAAGTTGGCTCTTTTCTGTATGCAGTAGCATACAGAAATCTAAATGAGCAGAGGCAGAGTGGACCAGTGGGGCCAGAGTTGCCTTCCCAAGCACAACCTGTTTCCATTTTCTTCTGTGTCTTCCAGGACCAAGGATGCTTTGCAGACCAGTGGTCCAGTGCCAACCCTGGAAGTGTTTCGGCTCCAGGTGAGTCCTATCAGCATCAGTCCCTTTGGCAGTTGAATCAGGTTGGTGCCGCAGGATGTAAATGGAAAGAACCATGCAACCAGTTTTCAAAATGTATTGCTGTATTTTGCGCTTCTCGTTAGAAATAAAAAACAAAAGAGCAATTCGCCTTTATATCCAGGGTAGGAAATTGGAAAATCACTTCCAGAAGTGTGAAATGCATAGGACTTTACACTGAACAATTCAGATGAGTTTAAACTCGTGTGGCAGCAAAGGGCTTTGTTTGCTGGTTCCCACCCCAAGCACAGACATTTTGGGCACAGTGGAAGCCCATTTGGCTTAGCCTCTGCAATTCTAAGCTCCCACTCAAGGCTCCCATGGGACAGGCTTGGTCAGGCTGTTGCAGACACCAAACATGATGTGTGGGCCATCTGACTTAATTGTCTGGGCTATCCTAGAGGGTGAAGCTATACAGAACCATGCAAAACTGGTGAGGGGTTTGTGGAGTAAAAGGCTGCTGTATGTTACAGAACCATGCAAAACTGGTGGGGGGTTTGTGGAGTAAAAGGCTGCTGTATAACTGACTTCTCCATCTTCCAGGTGCAAGCTATGCCATGGATTCATCAGGTGAAGGCTTGCTGTTTTCTGCCTCCAACACCTCCCTTCTGTCAGTTTTGCTGCAAGAACCCAATGAGAACCACCGGCCCCCGTCGCCTGCAGAGATCATCGGAACTCCTCCTGCCACCCCAGTCTTCTCAGCCCACGATGCAGAGCTGAGTCTGTGGCAGGAGAAGTTCAAGCCACAAGCACCTTCCTGCAGCCGCCCAGAGTCTCCTTGCGCATGGGTGGAGGAGCCTGAACAGACTTCCTGTGTGCAGGAGGAAGTCACTACAGGAGATTTTCACTCGGTCTCATCTGGAGGTGTAGACAGGAAGCTAGAAAACTCAGTGGAGGGCATTGAGATGGTGGAAGTGCCCACTGTGCTCGGTGATGAGATCTTGGAAGAGGAGGAGGAGAAGACTACGGCAACCCCATGGTAATGTTTCTCAGTCTCAGTCTGTTGGCTCCCTCAGCCACTTTCGGTTCACTGGCCACAATATCCTCTAGTTGTGGTTAGAGGCGGAGCTTGGTCCAAGGAAAACAGATGCAACAGAGCAGCCATTTGGTGGAAGACTTCCTTTAACTGGGCAACTGCTACTTTCTTACAGTTCTGGGTCACCCTCTGTTTTCCTCCACTAGTTTGCTTCCGCCTTCCTCTTTCTGCTAATACTCTTTTGCTGGTGCCTGTCCGTGTGGTTTCTAGGGATCAGAATCCAATTATGTGGGTGAACCCCTCTCTGCAGCCTGCCAGGGACCTGTGTTTATAGAGGAAAGTCTGTGCACAGTGTGTGTGTGTGTTTGTGCACGTATATATGTATTCCTACCCAGCTTTGCCCTCCAGCAGTTGTTGAGGTTATGAACAAGGGCTATAAGATCATCATGTTTCAAGTCTGGGGCCCCGGCAGGCTTGTGAGCATCACACTGCTAATGTCTCTTGGGAGTTTCTTCCTTAAACCTAACATGTTTGCTCTAAATCTGAAAGCTTGAGATCTGTTCACTGTAGTCTGCCTCAATGGAGTTCATAGGAGAGTTCATTTAGAGACTTGATGTTTTGAGAAGTTTGCAAGCTAAGGGGATGAAATCTATTTTAAAAAAATTAATTTAAAAAAATGGAAATTTGGGCATGGCTTGTGTCTGTTGCTGCCTCCCAGATTTGTACAGGGCAGCTGAAAACCTTGCACTGGCCTTGCACTTCAAGCAGGGCCCATGGTGCCTTGCTCTTTCCACTGCCAGAATCTACCCTATACCTGACCAGCACCCTGCCAGACCAGCTGCAGCATCTGCCCAAAGGTCAGCTGTGCAGTGTGGTTAGCTGTCTGCCTGGCACTTCAAGCAGGGCCCATGGCGCCTTGCTCTTTCCACTGCCAGAATCTATCCTGTACCTGACCAGCAACCTGCCAGACCAGCTGCAGCAACTGCCCAAAGGTCAGCTGTGCAGTGTGGTGCATGGCTGGAGATTGGCTTTCTTTGCCCCTGTGGAGTGAGACAGCTGCTGAACAGAACAGTTCTCGAGTGGGAAGAGCCCTGTAAAATGGCCAGGGATAACTCTTGGTGGCAGCCTGAAGCCAGAGAACGCAATCCCTGTGGACTGGCGAGTGAGAGTGTACCTCAAAATCTCCATCCCTGAGGAAATGACACAGAACGAGTCGTGCTGGTCCAGTGACGGCAGTGGCAGGAGAGCCTTCAGGGGAAATGTGATGCTATCAGAAAGGGTAAAACTAGCAGCCACAGGGGTACTCTTTCACTAGGGAGGCAGGGCAACAGCACTGGCGTGAGGGAATCCAGGAGCAGGCTTTCAGCAGTCACTCCTTCAACAGACTGCTGTGATGTTCTCCTGTCTTGCCAGGTCATCTCTGACCACCTTGAAGGAGAGGTTTTTATGGTCTGGGTTGGTATTGCCGAATAGCTCAGGATTAATGCTTCGCATCAGTGTTGCTCAGTGGATTACATGATGGCTGTCAACCGTGTGGGTGGGAAAGTTCCTCTACGAACGATGGCAGCCTCAGAGATGACGGTCTCATGTTCTTGTCACTGCAGCCCACCAAGGTGGTCATAAGCTATCCCTGTCCCAGCACTGCTGCTGACATCTGTCTGTCTCTTTCTCTGCAGTTGCACTGAAGATCCCACTGGGGAACCCAGCAAAACAGGGGAGACGCCATGGGCCAAGGAGCCTGCAGAATCCAATGGCTTTGTCCTCGCAAACGGCACTTCTGGAGACCAGGCTGCAGCACAGCGGTTGGCAGCACGGCTCTACCACTTGGATGGGTTCAAGAGGACACAGGTGGCTTCCTTTCTGCGGAAGAAGTAAGGTCTTAAAATGTCTGCGGTCCTTGAAGGTCTGCTTGCTCAAATGCCTCGCACTGGAGCACCTGGGAGAATTTGCAGTGCACTTACTCTTTCCTATCTCTTCTCATGGGCAGGAGTTGCAAAAAACCAAGGCTGCTCCATTCCCTCTTGATCCCTGCCATTTGTTTTGTGTTTGTTGTTTGTGGCTAGTTGCCATCTCTGTAAGGCTTTGGCTAACCACTTTATTGCACAGTAAATCTTCGATGTGAAGGCATGTATCATCTGCCCTGTAGGAGGCAGACGTTAGATCCTGGCTGGAGGAAATCAATTGTGGGGCCTGGCTTGACCTAGATGGCCCAGGCTATCCCGATCTTGTCAGATTTCCAAAGCTAAGCAGGGTCAGCCCTGGTTAGTCCTTGGATGGGAGACCACCAAAGAAGACCAGAGTTGCTACTCAGAAGCAGGCAATGGCAAACCAGCTCTGTTTGTCTTCTGCCTTGAAAACTCTACGGGGTTGCCATAAGTCGGCTGCAACTTGATGGCACTTTCCTCCACCACCACAGACCCAGATAATTATAGATCATAAGAACATAAGAACATAAGAGACGCCAATGTTGGATCAGGCCAAAGGCCCATCCAGTCCAACACTCTGTGTCACACACTGGCCAGAAATACCAGTGCCATCAGGAGGTCCAGCAGTGGGGCCAGGACATTAGAAGCCCTCCCACTGTTGGCTCTGGCAATGGGGCTGAAAACTCGATGGTACCATTGAGTTTTCAGCCCCATTGCCAGAGCGTCGCCCGGCTACGTGCCCAGCGTGCTGGAGTCACGTCTGGACGACAGCATAGTGGGGCGCGGGTGTGTTACACACGGGAATGTTCCGGCCAGAAAACATGTGTCCCCCGCCGATTCGTGGTAGGTACTTGGCAACCCTACCAGCTACACCTGGAGGAAGCAGGCTATCCATTTCAGCATTCAAAGAGCATTTTGGAGCCCAAATCTCCTGGGTGGATGACCTAAGCCAGGCAAGAATGAGATGGGCACAGCCTGACTCTGTTGCTGCTCCTGGTCCTCTCAAAGGCTCTCAGTGCATCAAGGTCCACTTTTGTACTGTGCTTATTTTTGATGGGATTGTGCACATCTTGAAGGATTCTGTTTATAGCTTGGGGATGTTCCTGGGTTCAACACTGCTGCAGGAATTTTAAATAACAGCTGTGTGCATGGGTGGCTTTTTGCATTTTGACTGACTTGCCTACAACGAGAGCCGAAAGATACTGCCATATGTGGTGACAGGGGCTAGACTGCTGTATCGTTCTCTATATGGGGCTGTCTTTGAAGGCTGTCTGGAAACTACAGAGCACTAGGATCCCAACAACTGTGCTGTGTGCCTAGGAGTTCTGGATTTCACCTTCACGGATTAGGTCCAGAGGTTCTGTGGAAGTACGTGGTCTCAGAGGCTCTGTGGGAGCCTGTGGTCTCTTGAGTTACCAGTCTCAAGGCGGGGCCTCATGTTCTCCCAGAATTACAAATCACCTCCAGACTGTAAAGTTTGGTTACCCTGGAGGAAAGGACAGTTTTAGATGGTGGATTCTGTGACATCACATCCTTCCTGAGCTCCCTCCCCTCCCAAGCACCGCCCTCTCCAGGCACCATCCCTAGGTCTCCAGGAACCTCCAGAGCTGGAGATGGCGCCACTCCTTAAATGCTGCACTGATCAGAATCCCATCTCAGGTGAAGGCAAGACTGGCACCTCCCTTTTCTGTGGTCACTCTTGTGCTGTGGAATCGGCTTCCCTGGAGGCTTGCCCCCCTCTCCCTCCCTTGCCTCTTTCCAGAGGCATTCAGTAGTGGGGTTTTAGAGCTGTTGCTGCTGACTTTTCTCAGCTGCTTGCTGTTGTCATCTTTTGAAAATTGCAGGTGGGGCTTTATGGGGTTTTATGGCTTAACGTTTGATTTCAATCTGCAAACTGCCTCAGGAGGCTTTTTGATGGGTTAGGGTACATAAAACGATGGTAAATAAGTGAACAAACAGTGGATTAGAGTCTGTAACTGAAGAGTGACCTTTTTGTCGTTTGGTGCCCTCTAGCTAGATTCTCCACTGCTGAGTGAGGGGGGTACACTGGGAGGGGGCCCTTTTTGTCTTTTTGTTTTAGGGAGGGTAGACCTAAAGGAGCTGGATTTAAACAGTCCCAAGTAGTCGGGAGTGCGCCTACTGCCCCGGGGAGCTGGGACTGTAGAGCTGGCAAAGTCTGTACCTTTCCTGAATCTCCCTGTTCTTCCCATGTGTTTGTCCACAGCAACGAATTCAGCCAGATGGTAGCTGAGGCCTACCTCTCGTTCTTCCAGTTCACTGGACTGACTCTGGACCAAGCTCTGAGGTAACTCTTCCTCCCACGGGGTTGTGTCCATGCTTTCACAGTGGAACTGTTGCGTGACAGGAGACAGTAGAAGTCATAGTGGTGGGGAAACGGCGATCGTTCTTTTGGGTGGAGAGGAGAGAGGGGTAAGTAATGGCTGGATCTGAGGGTGGAGCAGCACAAGGCAAAGAAGAGCAAAGCAGAGTCCCAGCTTGTAGCCTGCTGGGATCTGTTCTGTGGCTCAGCATGGCAGAAACCTGTTGAGACCTCACAGGAAGTGAAGGCCAGCATGAGGAGGAGGAGGAGGAGGAGGAGGCCAGCAGTTACTGCTGCCAAATTCCCACTGGGGTTGCGCTCATAGCCAGTGTTCCCTCTAAGCTGAGTTAGTATGAGCTAGCTCACAAATTTTTAGCCTCCAGCTCACAGATTTTTGTCTTAGCTCAGGAAGGATGGCTCCAGAGCAAACTGATTTATGCAGCAGCCAAACTGCTCGCTCACAACTTTAAAGCCAGTAGCTCACAAAGTAGAATTTTTGCTCACAAGACTCCACAGCTTAGAGGGAACATTGCTCATAGCCAAGGACCAGTACCTCAGGGGGTTTGCAGATACAGAAGTATCTTTGATCTGGTGCACCACCCCACTTCCCATAATGTGACCGGGAAACCCTTCGCATTAGGGGAGGGAGGGCTACAGAGACTCCATTATTATTCCTGTGGCTCAGATTGTTAGTGGAATGAAGGGGGATAGGAGAGTTTCAGTGAAGTGTTAGGGCATGGGAGAATAAAGAACCAGGTCTTACCTATGACCATAGGAAGAGTCGCCCTGACCTGGATGGTCCAGGCTAGCCCGAACTCATCAGATATCGGAAGCCAAGTAGCATCGGCACTGATTCGTATTTGGGTGGGAGGCCACCAAGGAAGCCCAGGACCGTTACGTAGAGGCAGGCAATGGCAAAGCCACCTCTGAATGTCTCTTTCCTTGAAGGCCCAAGGGTTCGCCATAAGTCGGCTGCGACTTGATTGTACTTTTCCATCACATAGGAAGAGACGTTATGAAGAAGATGTTATGACTTGTCAGTTTATTAAAATATTTATACCCCACCTTTCCCTTGTGGTTCAAGGTGGCTTACAATCCCAAACTAAAAAAAAACACCACCATACAAAGTGAATAAAACTCCAGTTAAGCCCTCAATTAAGAAAATGCCAACAGGGTATATCCCATTAAAGGCCTGAGCAAATAAGACAACTTTGCAATGCCCCCTGAAAAATTCTGAGGGAATTCTGACGAATTCTAAAACTTCTGAAGAGAGTGGCCGCCTCTCCCTCCTCAGGGAGCTCAGTCCATAGGGCGGGAGCTGCTGTAGAAAAAGCATGGGTGGGCTCTCATTGGTGCTAGGCAGGGGCTAGGGCTCTTTTTGTAGCAGGAACTCCTTTGCATATTAGGCCACACCCCCTAATGTAGCCAATCCTCCAAGAGCTTACAGAGCTCTTCTTACAGGAGCTACTGTAAGCTCTTGGAGGATTGGCTACATTAGGGGTGTGTCGCTTAATATGCAAATGAGTACCTGCTACAAAAAGAGCCCATAGGTAGACACCTGAGGACTGTAGTTGGCACATGGGGATATACAGGGAAAGACTCGAAGCCCAAACGAAACAGCTGTGATGAAAGGAGGTCTCGGGAAAATGTGGTAGAACAGTTCGATTCAAGCCCAGTAGCACCTTTGAGTCCAACAAGATTTTTGGGGTAGAAGCTTTCAAGAGTCAAAGCTCCCTTGTCTGACAAAGGAAACTTTGGCTTTCACAAGCTTGTACCCAAAAAATCTTGTTGGACTCCAACGTGCTGCTGGACTCAAATCCAGTGAGAGAAGGAAATGCTGTCCCTACTGAAAGTGAGCCGGGTGTGTGTGTGTGTGGACATTTTGAGGCAAAGAGCTGTACCTTCCCAAGTGGAAGAGAGAGTCAGCCTGACCCTGCCCTGGGTGCACGTGTGGGTCCTCCAGCCCTGCAGGAGAGCAGTACCCTGCTCGATGAGGCAAGCCACTTCCTTGGGATGGTGCAGTTAGAGCTTGAGCAGAGTTAGACTGTGGGCTTTTCAGAGGTCCGGCTGTGCAGAGGTTGCAGGAGCAGGTAGTGTCCAGAGAGACTTGGGAGACTGAAAGAGAGCCATTTTGAGTGAGTGCGGTATAATGGGTCAGAGCGGTGCGGAGACCAAATGTTCATGTCCTCTCTCTTGGCGTGGAGCTTGCTGGCTGACCTGGAGCCAATCCCTCTCTTGTGAGGATCTGGCTCCTGCTGTGAAGACAGCAGGCGGGAGAACCATGTCCGCCACCCTGAGCTCTTTGGAGGAAATGTGGGCCAGAAATGTAACATGGGGGGGGGAGATGGGGATGGGGTCAGGACAGCAGGGCCCTGTTAGGAGGTGGGTTAATGCCCCTGATCCCTGCCTGTCTTGCAACAGCTGTCCCAGTATACTGAGCTTCCCCCCCCGCCGCCAATGATATACCAAATGCAATTTGCTGAATGCTGGGATGGGTACAGACAATCGTGAGGAAGGGAGCTGGCACTTTCCCTTGGATTGTCTTCCTAGTCATGTAAAGCAATCAGAGATGGAAGCAGATTGAGGGATTATTATTTCAAGATAATTAACTGCTCACGTAAACAAGCCCCATGGGGAAAATACACCCCCCCCGCCTGCATCTCACATCTGTCTATCCCACAACTCACTCTTGGGCTTTCTTTATCTTTTCCTGTTGACAGGTTGTTCCTGAAGGCTTTTGTGCTTACAGGGGAGACCCAGGAGAGGGAGAGGATCCTCAGGCACTTCTCCCAGCGCTACCACTCTTGCAACCCCGAGGCCGTCCTCACACCTGGTAAGGCACCTGCAGACCCAGGCAAGTGACTAGGTCTGCCATGCCCAAGGGGGAGGTCATGCAGTGCACTGCGCTGTGCTGTGGCCTGGGTGATACGGTTGCCGCTCTTGGTCGGGAGGGCTGGATCTGGCTCCAGGCCATGTCTTGTCATGTCTCTAGGTCGTGTCTCATTGCTCAGATGTATCTGCAGGACCCTGAGAGCTTGTGGAGTGGGGAGCCTCGGCACAAACCCCCGTCTTGCCCTGAAGCTCGCCGCACACCTTTAGGTGCATAAGCATTTGGGGGCAATACAAGCACGTTTTTGTAGCTCCTCGTGAGAACCAGTTTGGTGTCGTGGTTAAAAGAGACAGAGTCTAATCTGGGAGAACCGGGTTTGATTCCCCACTCCTGCACATGCAGCCAGCTGGGTGACCTTGGGCAAGCCACAGTTCTCTCAGAGCTGTTCTCTCAAGAGCAGTTCTCTCAGAGCCCTCTCAGCCCCACCTACCTTACAGGGTGTCTGTTGTGGGGAGAGGAAGCCAAGGAGATTGTAAGCCGCTCTGAGACTCCTAGTGAAGGGCAGGGTGTAAATTGAATCTCTTCTTCTTCCTCTGCATTGCACTGTGCTCGTGTGCATGCTGTGCAGCATGGTGGACTGTGCTGGCATCTCTTACTGCTTGCCATTTGTAAAACGTCACATGCAGAAGTTTTGTGCAATCTGCCCCTCCCCCCAACCTGTATACCAAGGATGCTCAGTCTTTCAGCCTCACTCTTGCGTCATGGGAGCTGCAAGCAAGCACACATCTCACTCCTTTTCCATTCTCCAGTAAACTTGACTTTGGCCTACCTGTAGCAGTGGGAAGGAAACAAATCTTCACAGTGAGAGTTTGAAGGGGAGAGTCGCAGTTTGCAATGAAAGGCAGGAGACAGTCGTGGCAGGGAAATGCTGCCCACATGTACAGCAAGGACTTTTGGAGCCCAAAACGTTTGGGGATGACTTTTATTTATTTATTTTTTAGTTATTCATAGGCAAG